ACCTAGCTAGGGGTTTATCTAAATACTAATCTAAAAAGACTGGGCTATCAGCTGACCTAACTATACCTAGCTAGAGTTTTATCTAAATACAAATCTAAAAAGACGGGGTTATCAGCTGCCCTAACTATACCTAGCTAGGGTTTTATCTTAATACTAATCTAAAAAGACTGGGTTATCAGCTGACATAACTATACCTAGCTAGGGTTTTATCTTAATACTAATCTAAAAAGACTGGGTTATCAGCTGACATAACTATACCTAGCTAGGGTTTTATCTTAATACAAATCTAAAAAGACAGGGTTATCAGCTGACCTAACTATACCGAGCTAGGATTTTATCTAAATACAAATCTAAAAAGACTGGGGTATCAGCTGACCTAACTATACCTAGCTAGGGCTTTATCTAAATACTAATCTAAAAAGACGGGGTTATTAGCTGACCTAACTATACCTAGCTAGTGTTTTATCTTAATACTAATCTACGTTAGTATATATATTCACAACATATTGACGCAAATCTAAAAAGACGGGGTTATCAGCTGCCCTAACTATCCCTAGCTAGGGTTTTATCTAAATACTAATCTGAAAAGACTGGGTTATCAGCTGACCTAACTATACCTAGATATGTTTTTATCTAAATACAAATCTAAAAAGACTGGGTTATCAGCTGTCCTAACTATACCTAGCTAGTGTTTTATTTAAATACTAATCTAAAAAGACGGGGTTATCCGCTGACCTAACTATACCTAGCTAGTGTTTTATTTAAATTCTAATCTAAAAAGACAGGGTTATCAGCTGACCTAACTATACCTAGATATGTTTTTATCTAAATACAAATCTAAAAAGACTGGGGTATCAGCTGACCTAACTATACCTAGCTAGGGCTTTATCTAAATACTAATCTAAAAAGACGGGGTTATTAGCTGACCTAACTATACCTAGCTAGTGTTTTATTTAAATACTAATCTAAAAAGACAGGGGTATCAGCTGACCTAACTATACCTAGCTAGGTTTTTATCTAAATACTAATCTAAAAAGACGGGGTTATTAGCTGACCTAACTATACCTAGCTAGTGTTTTATCTTAATACTAATCTACGTTAGTATATATATTCACAACATATTGACCCAAATCTAAAAAGACGGGGTTATCAGCTGCCCTAACTATACCTAGCTAGGGTTTTATCTTAATACTAATCTAAAAAGACTGGGTTATCAGCTGCCCTAACTATACCTAGCTAGGGTTTTATCTTAATACAAATCTAAAAAGACAGGGTTATCAGCTGACCTAACTATACCGAGCTAGGATTTTATCTAAATACAAATCTAAAAAGACTGGGTTATCAGCTGACATAACTATACCTAGCTAGGGTTTTATCTTAATACTAATCTAAAAAGACTGGGTTATCAGCTGCCCTAACTATACCTAGCTAGGGTTTTATCTTAATACAAATCTAAAAAGACTGGGTTATCAGCTGTCCTAACTATACCTAGCTAGGGTTTTATCTAAATCCTAATCTAAAAAGACGGGGTTATCAGCTGCCCTAACTATCCCTAGCTAGGGTTTTATCTAAATACTAATCTGAAAAGACTGGGTTATCAGCTGACCTAACTATACCTAGATATGTTTTTATCTAAATACAAATCTAAAAAGACTGGGTTGTCAGCTGACCTAACTATACCTAGCTAGGGGTTTATCTAAATACAAATCTAAAAAGACTGGGTTGTCAGCTGACCTAACTATACCTAGCTAGGGCTTTATCTAAATACTAATCTAAAAAGACGGGGTTATCAGCTGACCTAACTATACCTAGATATGTTTTTATCTAAATACAAATCTAAAAAGACTGGGGTATCAGCTGACCTAACTATACCTAGCTAGGGTTTTATCTTAATACAAATCTAAAAAGACGGGGTAAAGTATCAGCTGACCTACCTATACCTTACACTAGGGTTTTATCTAAATACAAATTGATTTCAGAAGGAATAAAATAAAGTTGTATTTGTAGATTTTTATTTAAGTAATTCACAAATATCAAGGTAATTAAAAAAAAAGTAAGAAGGTTTCTGTAACTTGTTTTAGGTTTTAAATCCATGCAACAGCAAAGGTCATATGAAAACAGAGAATTAAAGTTGAGATTTTAAATGGAATTTTAAATCTCAGAAATATATGTTTCTGCTTACCATTCCCCATAGTAGGGCTTCGGTGACGCTATACAAAGCACTTTGAATTCTCCACCAACAAGTAAAATCTATGTGTTAGCTTTTGTCCAAGTTTCAGCATGTCAAGTGAATGGAATGTTAAATCAGCCATTTTTTAATCTGTCTGTGGCAAATCCACTGTAAGTCTAAAACCTGAAATGAAAAGTTGATAATTTTAAATCATAAACAGTCTCCAGGATTTCCCCCCAATTATTTTGGGAATTGCAATCTTCTTTAAATTTGGCAAATTGGCAGTGTTTTGAGGAATTTACATCAATTTTTTTTCCATTTTTGCTTCTTATGAATAAGTCGAATGGTCTGAGGTCTTTCTTGTTATAAGACATCTTTAAGAGGAAAATAATAGGGGGGGGGGGGGGGGATGTAAATTGATAACAACAAGAGATCCCAGAGGGATCTTGGCGCCCACCATTGTACCATCTTCATTAGTTCTATGTCAGTTCGATCTTTTCACTTCTTTTCTCTTATCTGTTTGATCGAGTCATGTATACAGTAGATGCATCTTGAGTTAATTTTTTATCTAAACTTCAAACTGCTGTGTATAAAAGACAACCTTCATTGTGAGTTTGTCATTTCAAATATTTACTAGTACAGTACAGTACTTAATGTGAAAGAAATAGAATGGATCATTGCAATATAAGAAAGATCTGGTAAGTTCTCCCTGCAGCCATCTCATTTTTACAATCACTCAAAATAAAACATGCATAACTAAGGACCAAGGGAAACCTATAATTCAAATTTGAGAAAGATCCCTTAACTACTTTCTGAGAATAAGCAATAACAAACTTTAACTGTCAAAATCAAAGATGGCCATGGACCTGTCAACAATTTTGTTTATTCCATCAGTCACAAAAGTAAACATGCACAGTTAATGACCAAGGGGAACGACATGGAACCTGAGAAAGACCACGGACCACGGACGAAGGGCGATCTGAACATCTGATGATGGTGGGCTAAATATGTCAATGAATATGAATATTAAAAAAAAAAATGTTAACGCTTAGAAGTCCATCATCCTCGATACTCCAGGGGTTACGCTCGCTTTCACTCTCTACACCCTTGGAATCGTCCTCAATACTCCAGGGGTTACGCACACTTTCGCTCTCTGCACCCTTGGAATACGTCATAGCAAAATCAAAAGCTCAGTGTGCACCACCAAGAAGACTACTTTGATTCTTTGATGTGATGTAACAGTAAAATTTACTGGCTTTGAAGTCCAGTGTCGCTACTCTGTAATCTGTAAAGGACAGGTACAGAGCCTAACGATCAGTCAGGTTTCTTTTACTTGAGACCAATCAAATAGCTAGCAGCACGCATGCCTATGATATATTCCAGAGGTGCAGAGAGCGAAAGTGAGCAGAACTCCTGGAGGATGGAGGATGGAATCCCCTATGGGCTCGGGCAAAAGTGTAGGCCAAATGTATAATAAACAAATGTGTGGCAAAAAAGCTTTCCCCTAATATCCATCTTTTCTACCCTAGTGTTTCCAGAAACACAAATGAGGGTTTTTCACCCCCAAAACAGTTGGTTGTACCCCCGATTTTCAACAATTGCCCTATATAACTAAATACCTAGGGGTAAAACCAAACGTTTCACAAATTAACAGTGCTGTCACATAATTCCCATTGAGTCACAAATCATCTTTGTCATGATTTATAACATTTATTTTACCTATGTTGGGTTCACTTATCTTATAGTATGAGATTGTATGTAGCAACTGTACAGTGCTGTATCACTAAGTCACGATTAAAGACATTTCCTTACTTTTATGTATAGTATGTACGACATGAAAAGGAAATGAAAAAGAAATGAAATAAAATATGGTTTAAACCAAATACCTAGGGGTACAGAATCTTGAAAATGTATCAAATATACCCCCAAATATACAGCTTTATTAACAGGTCTCCCTTGGTAATTAATTACAATGCTGTCAGTGACAATTGTTTTAGTACTGTCTAATATAAGTCATATTTTCAGGTCAATGGACCTTTTAACTACAAAGAAATAATGGCTAAGTTTTTGCATAAAGAAAGTAGTAAACAAAACGTTTTCTAAAAAAATTAGAAAACGGAATATTTTTTAATATGTATTAATTACATAAGATGTTGTGTGTAATCAAAATACAATCCCATAATTGATTTAATTGCGTTTGTTAATACAGTCCAGGGATGTGTAGTGGACTACACATCCCTAATACAGTCATTTAAAAAAAAAATCAAGACAAAATCTAGCTGTCATCGTATATTTCGTCAAGCAGGTGCTAATTTACTGATCAGTGATTGCAGCTGCAAAGCTTTTCGCCGCATACTTGATGTTTCGGGCATTGGAAAGTCATTAATATATCATTCCATATGACTTTCATTAATAATAAAGTACTACGTCAATCGAACAATAATGGCTCACCTTTATGTTTGTTCAGCATCCCAGGTTGCTGCTACGGAAGCCAACATTCATTTCATCTCGTGGAATACCGGAGACAGCGAGAGAGTCGGGAGCAGGGGTTCATCAGGGGTAATGATAATTTCTAATTTTATCATTGTTGAAATCATGATAAATTTGTTTATGTATCTTAATTGATTTGTTTGTTATTATATTTTGAAATAATATATGATATTGCAACTAGATATGCTGGCCTAGTATCTTCGTTAAATGTCTCTATTGTAAAACCGTTTGTCAAAACTGAAAGTGAAAATAGTATACATCTCCTTTGCGGCCCCTCGCATGTTTTGTATGCTTTCTGAAGAGTTCACTCCCTTTGTTGGAGCTTTTCATTCATTATTCAGCTGGTGAAACCGGAGTCAGCAAGATGCCACAGACGATCAAAGTAGATCAGTGCGATTATTCAGAGGGAACTAAACCTTAGAAAGGTAATTATATTTCAAATTAAATAACGTTCACCTCTTTAACGAACGTTATTCACAAAAATCAACAAAATCCTTATAGAATTGGTTTTGTAACATATTTCGCTTTTGCCATAAATTTGATAAAATATGCTGAAGATTTTGATAGAACTGCTGCTGTTCAGTAGTCCGACAAGCTATGGAAATGTTCAGCCGAAACCGTTGTTTGTTTCCCAATTCACATGTAGTGGGCATGCATGTTAAGTGGTGTTTTTTTACGTGAACAACGGGCATTGCACAAACTAGGTACTGACACTGGACTGAATGGGACACATATGACGGAGCGTTACAGTACAGTTTAGATGATGAACGATAATTAAGAATCTGTTCAGGTGTACATGTTCATAATTTTATCATATTGGGTCACATATGTAAATATTTAATAATGGCAATTTACTGTTGATATAGATCCAATATAATCAGGTCCAGTACACTCTGCCGATTGAGCTATATAGCTGTAAAGACCTATAATAGCTCTATTGACCTATATGAAATAGGTCTTTTGAGCTATTTTCAAGTGATTTTCTTTTTTAAGGAAAACGAAACAAAGTTGCTTTTAAAAGAAGATTGTATCATTAGGTTGATAACAAAAGACATTAAATTTAAGGATTCTTTTTATAAAATAATGATGTAAAAAAATCGGAAATGTTACATTTATGAAAAATGAAAATAAACATCTAACTGTATGCTTTTTGTAGTCAACATTACCATAAACCTTATTGTTTTATGCGACTTTGCTTTAATTAAATGAAAATTGAAATCTGAGAAAATATAGCTCAATACAGCTATAATGTATAGGTCTTTATAGCTATATAGCTCAATCGGCAGAGTGTACTGGACCTACTGACTTAGTTGACAATTTCAGTCTTATTAGGATTTAAGAACAAGTACTTTGTGTTTCATTGTTTCAATATAACAGCTATACAAAAATCATGAATGGGCAACTCTCTTAATTATTCTGGATGTTTGAATATATAATGGCGGTGGTTTGCTCAGGGATACATGTACAATTCCTATTGCCTGACATTGGTAGATTTTATGTAATTAGAGCTTGTGAAATTGTTCAGCATTTGCTACAAAAATACATGTAAGATGGGCTAGTATCATTTGTCAAAAGCTGCCTGATGAACTCTAAAAATAATTTGAACACTATTGATGCCGGACTGTCAAACGGACCAAGAATGTACACTGTTGTTTCAGTACTTTTAAAATTTAAACAAAAAATGGTGACGATGGTATTACAGAAAAATAAACCCATACAATTGAACTGTAACTGCTTTTCTCTTCTAATATCTAATTAAATAACAGGCATAGCATATTGAGACTTGGCATGGCCTCTAGATTGCTGGGGTGGAGGGCTGTATAAAGTTTGTTCAGATGAATGACCTTGACCTACTATTAGATCAAAGGTCTGGTGTAAAATATGTTTCTGACAAATCAAATGACTTCAAAAGTTCCATAAGATTTTGAGTAATGGTATATGACCTATAGCTTACTGGGATGGATCGCTATTAAGTTTGTAACATGTAAAAATTTGATTAAGTAATATTATATAGCAAATCGCAGGGCTTTCAGTTGACCCATGACAATAATTAGCAATTTCAGAAGTAAATTACATGTACACCCCCCCTGAATTTTGGAGGGTCAAAGCACATGTCAATTACACATGTCTTTCAAACCCAATTGTCAAACTGATACTCTCAAGTGTACACTGAAGCTCTGATATTGCTGGTATGTATATACATGTATAGGATCTTACATATCTTACGTTTCCATATCATATCAGATTTATGAAATGAGTCTTAAGCATTTTTCAATTTAGCGAGCCTCTGGCAAGCTAAAATGAAAAATTTGTGACGACTTTCATAAATTTCATAAGAAATGAAAATGAGTGTAAGATCCTTTTTATCACATATTCAAGATTTGTGGTATTTGTTCGTGTAAAACGATAATTCTTATGCAACCTGAAAATATAAAAAAAGCCGCCATTTTGACTCCAGTGTGAATGTAATTCTGTTACATCATGCCTTCTTGTCCTAGGCATGATGTCCCAATTGAAACTTACAACCAATCACAGGGCTATAATATAATAGGTCATATTACATGGGTTAATACGCCAAAAAATATTACATGGGTACATTCACTGGATAACACAGCACATTATGTGTTAAGTGAGTTGCTATGAATTGTGCTATTTCTTGATCAGTTATCAATACCTTGTCACTTTGTGGTTTGTTAAATTATTAGCCTTCATGTTTTACAATTTATTTTATTATTTTAGAATTAATAAAAAATTCAAAGTTGAACAATTCCAAAATAGACTTAATATCCAGAAAACATTTCAAGTGTGCTTAAAATTGGCATATACTGATATAGCATTTTATCATACTGTAATATGATAAGTCTATCTCTGTCTCGGAGTCAGTGAATTGGTGTTGACTTGCTTGTTTGTCTTATTGAAGGATAAGGGTGGATAACAGTCTTATAATTATAAGTACATGTATATATGTAGTAATCACTGACACATTGAATAGTACTGTAGACAATTGTTTCTTAACATCAGATTTCCACACTATTATTATACATTATGAATATTATATATATACATATACCTTCTAAGTGATGATGAAGTGTACCAGGTACTCTTTATTAAAGATAGCTTTTTGTGGCATGTGATTTTTGGTAATATTCTAGCTACCACTTGAAAATATATAATTTTCCATGAATACCACCAGTGAAAGTTAACCTTAAGAATTCCCACACCACTGCTAAACACTGTGGCTATGCATTGTAAACTACTTTATCAGACATAACTTAAGCTTTTTGATAAATCATTGCTGAAAAGAGGACCATACCATGCAGGTTTTTATAAGAGCAAGTGTAAAAGATAAGACAATAACAGTGTATGTAAGAGTTTAGCTGGCTTGGCTGGGATTCCGACCCTTCACTACCGCACTTACCACACGACTGAGCTACCCATGTCTAGCTAATGGAAGTATATATATATACCCGCCCAATTGTACTACAGTAATATCTGAAACGAAATTAAGGGCTGGTTACTGTATATACAAGAAACCACAGTGCAATGGGACAGGGATCCTTAGGGAAGTTAAGGCAGGTTACTGTATATACGAGAAACCACAGTGCAGTGGGACAGGGATCCTTAAGGAAGTTAAGGCGAGGTTACTGTATATATGAGAAACCACATTGCTGTGGGACAGGGATCCTTAAGGAAGTTAGGGCAAGTTACTGTATACGAGAAACCACAGTGCAGTGGGACAGGGATCCTTAAGATAAGTCCTACAATACATCTATACAATGTACTATTTACAAAATAACGTCAGGCTTAGACTACTTTGGACATTTTTCAAGGACATACAATAGTTATAGACAGGGGTAGTAGATTTTTAAGTCCGGGTTATAGTGAAAAGGAAAATATGGATTTTCAAAATCTGTCTGTCAGCTACTCTAAATATGAAACTGTGCACCCCAGTATAACAGGCTTGTACTTCTAGCTACATTGTGTATCGCTTTTCAACATATTTTACATTAGAAAAAAATTGTTAGAAGAAATGTCTGCTAACTTATTTGTGTTTCTGTTGACATATATATATGCATGACGCAACCAAAAACAAATCATTTATTTAGGTCTACAACTATGTAAAATACACAGGTAAAAACAAAAAGTTAGAATAAAACATCACCAGTACACATTCATGGTACATCTATGTACCATTTTATATCAAGCGTTACAGTGTATTAATATTTACTAGCCTACTGGCAGGTTTTGAAATTCTACTAGCACTACCTCGAAGGAATTAACAACTTTTAATTTGTATTCCTATAGGAAATGCAATTACAGCTGTATGTTGAATATGACAGAATGTCAGAATATTCAGGGGTCAAATAAGACAAGATGTCACAATATTCAGGAGTTGGCTTCAACAGGATGTTAGAATATTCAGGGGTCAGATTAATTTAGCTTCACTGTACATGTGTGCAATTGTTTAATTGTTTTTTCTTATTTCCTTTTTAGGCAGCAAAGAGAAAAAAAATAATGATTTACTGGGAAGGAAAGTCATTTCACAGTGTGATGCATTTATTGTTGTCTAAATTTGACAATATTAAACTGTTATGTCACCAGGACGGAGTCTGCCGCAGGATGTGAAATCTACGTTGGATCAAATGACACACACACACGTATGTACGTACCTGCTGTGGAAACTGATATGTTTGAACACCTGATCAGACTACAGGATAATAACGTTTGGGATTGCTGATGCAGATCCATCATAAGCTTGACTGTTAATTTCCTCATCATTGTCATCCACCGCCACTACTACCTGTTCCCTGGAGAACGGATCTGGTTAGTCAGACATGACGGTATGTTGGGTGATTTATAGAAAGTCATCAGTCATAACAGACAGTGCTGTCCCTAGATCCGTACTCTATATAGTGTGTGTTTCATGTAATTTCTTCTGCTTCCTCATAATGAAGGGGCATTTTAAACAATATCTTTACAAATCTCTTCTTGTAGTTTTTGCTCACCTGGTCCAAAGGACCATGGTGAGCTTATGCCAAGCCACAGCGTCCGTCATCCGTCCGTCAAGTTTTCCTAAAAATCACTACAAGTCATGAATGACAGAGCAGATTTTGACCAAATTTGGTCAGAATCATCCTTGGGGGAAGGGGAACAAATTTTGTATAAATGGTGGGTCTGGCCCCCCTGGGGGCTGAGGGGCAGGGCCCAATAGGGAAACATAGCAAATTATTCTTTAAAATCCTTCTTTTTCTGTAGGAATGAAAGGATTTATTCCATATTGGTCTGAAGCATCCTTGGGTGAAGGGGAACCAATTTTGTATAAACGGTGGGTGTGGCCCCCCTGGGACCTGAGGGGCAGGGACCCAATAGGGGAAATAGAGGTAGAACCTATGTAATCCTTCTTCTTCCATAGGGAATAAGGGATTTTATCCTAATTTAGTCTGGAGCATCCTGGGGCAAAAGGGACTCAATTTCGTATAAACAGCTAGTTTGGCCCCCCCCCAGAAGGGAAGGGCCTAATAGGGGAAACATAGCAAATTCTTCAAAATCCCTCTTCTTCTGTAGGAATGATAGGATTTTGTCCAAATTTGGTATATGAAGCATCCTTGGGTGAAGGGGAACCAATTTTGTATAAACGGTGTGTCTTACCTCCCTGGAGAGGCAGGGCCCAGTAGGGGAAATAGAGGTAAAACCTTTAAAATCTTTCTTCTACCATAGGGATTAAGTCTGGAGCATCCTTGGGCCAAGGGGACTCAATTTTGTATAAGCAGTGGGTGTGGTTTCCCAGGGGTCAGAAGGGCGGGGCTCAATAGGAGAAATAGAGGTAAAATCCAACTTTGTATAATTGGTAGGTATGACCCCCCCCCC